AAATCTTCTGTTTGGCTTTTAAATACCTTCACAACCTAGCCCCTTTCTGACTTGCTAGTTTTCACTTTACTTTTTTCCCTTCTACACGCTCTACCATCTGGCTACATCAGCCTTCTTGGTGTTGACCTACAACACTCCATCTCCTGACCTTATGCATTCGTATTGGGTTGTCTCTCTTGCCTGGAATGCTGTCCCTCCTCACCTCCAACTCCTAGCTTCCCTCTTGCTCTAAGACCCAGGTAAAATCCTGCCTTCTGGAGAAGAACTTTCTGAGGCCTCTCCCTATACTCCCACCCAATCCCTTCTGTCTGAGATAACCTTTCACATACACTGTATGAAGTTATCCCTTCTATGTCAGGATTTTCCCCATTGAGGTTTTGATGTATCGTGAGTCGGCATAAGAAATTAAATGGGAATTTTTGGGGAGTTTTGTGGAAGCTGCAGCAACACGTGAAGGCCATTAGATGACACAGAAAAAGTTTAGAAATTCAGAAATGCATAAAATATGTGTATAGTATTGTATACAATATTGACATGTTCTTTTAATACCATAATAATTCAGACTTCTTCTTTGGTATGAAGGGAGGACCAAAAAAATTTTGTGTTCCAGGTCATGTGGGTGCTGTTCCCCTAGCACTTAGCCCCCGTGATGTGGAAGGAATAAATGTATGTCTTTTTTTGTTCATAGTTACGTATTATCTCCTCTTTTAAAATGTGTGCTTTTTGAGAGGAGATCATGTTTTTGTGATTAATAAATACTTGTTCATGGAAGCAGTGACTTACTGACTCTTAGGCACAAATATTTGTCTGGAATTCTGAAAGTTTTCTTCTAGGGAAGATACATTTAAGGAAAGATGTCTTAGTTTTGAAATTTTTTCCATAGTTGAATTTGCAGAATTCTTACATGTACATAAATGTACAAATAATTTTTCTCCTTGCCCTCCTACCATCACAAAAAATATTCTGTAATATAATACAGGATACACACATTTCTGTGTAAGATTTAAATGAAACAGTTTTTCATATTTGTTACTATTATATTGTAATTGCTTTTGGTTACAGTGACTTGACTTTACTACTGGGAACACTATTTAATGAACTTTATGTATCCAAGTTAATTCTGGTTAACTGACATGTTTGGAGAGAATTGTAAATAATAATAATAATAATAATAAATAATAATAACAACAATAATAATGATACCATTTCTATATCATCTTAAGGTGTGCAGAACACTGTACATATAATATCATTTGATCCTCACAACAGCCCTGGGAGATAAGTGCTGTTGTTATCCCTCTTTTTACAGGTACAGAAAGTGAGACTGTGAAGGATTATGTGACTTGTCCAGGGTACTATGACTGATGAGAGTTGGTGTGGAGTAGTGGGAAAAGCTCTGCATTTAGAGTCTAAGGACCCATGTTTAATTCTTGGTTTTGTCACTCACTTATCATGTGACATTGGCCGGGTCACTCAATCTGTTAGAGTCTTAGTTTCTTTTTCTGTAAGATGAGAGGGTAAGACTAGGTTATTTCCAAGGTTATGTTTAGCTGGAAATTCTATGAAAATTCAATTGATTGAGGGTTAACTAAAAAACTTTTTTGTTTCAACCCTTTAAGACATTTAAAAAATTGAAATATTAAAAAATTATTATTTCTAAAGTTATAAAAAGTAAGTTGTTTACAGATAATGAATACAGAACAGAGAGCTTACAGAAGAAACTAAAATATAATCTGTTATGAACATACCATCCATAGAAATTTGTTTTGAAATATAAACAGCTATAAATATATTGTTAATTTTGTTAATGTTTAAATGAATAATACATTATTGTAAAAATGCATTAGTTCACTTTTCTGCTTTTTTAAGTAAGAGGATATTGAGTGTATATAGATTGTTTTTGGATAAATCCTTACTTTATAGTACCTCAGGATCATTAGTATAGAAGATGAAGACAGCTTGGTTGGGTGTGTACTGACTTCAGGATATTTTCTTGGAAGTTTTTTGTTTTTGTTTGTAAATAATTTGCTTTTTTTTCCCCCTCCTAAAAGGTGAATGCGGTAAGCAGTCTGTTTACCTGAAGTTCCTAGTTTGTTGAATTCTAGATAGCAAAGGCATAAAAAATGTTTTTTAACCTATAGGTAGGAGTAATATTTTAAAATCTTTCTCATACAACATCCAACTGTTTTTATGCTGCATGCATATTACTTTCTTATGAGGATACAAGAAAATGATTAGGTGTGAAGTTCTACACAAGATAATTACATATGTATACATGCATATATAGGTATATACAGCAGACATACCTGTACACATATGTAAATATACATGTTTTTGTGTGTGTAGTCCCAAAAGTCTTGTTGCTAGTGCAGTTTTAAGCTTTTGTGGCTAAAAACTGCCCTGTAGTAGCTTAAAACTAACTTGACGTTAGACTTTTGGGATGCCCTGTATATATTGTTATAAGCAATGTTGCCATCTGGTGGAATAAAATTACAATGTCCATTTCTCTATTACAGCATATAAAATCAGATACTAGTATATGTCACCTTTTAATCAGTTGACTACCTACTTTTTCTTTCTTTCTTTTTTTGGTATGTTTGATGCATATTCCATCCCCATCCCCTTCCCATTTTCCCAATATAATTTCCCTACATTGAACTCTTATTTAAAAAAAAATACATAAAACTGGCTGATGGAGTGACTATAACTCACGGGATGTACAACATTTCACACTTGCAGTCCTCCACCCTATCCCCGCACTAAGAGGAGACAAATAGGTTTCATCTGCTGTTATCTGGGATCAAGAATATTGATTCTAAATGCTCCGAATTCAGCTGCCCTTTAGTGTTCATAGGAGCAGAGAATAATATATGCAGAGGGGGAAGGGGCCATAGAGGCACCGTAATCCAACCCTCTCACTTTAGAGATGAAGAAACTGAGGCCCAGGGAGATTTACTGATGCTCAAGGTCATTAAGGCAGTAAATGTCAGAAATTGCTTTCATTTAAATTATTATGCTCATTGTGTATGTGGAAGTACGTAATTCTTTTTTCCTGCTTTTTGTTCTATATTACTTTATACAAATCATCCCACAAATCTCTGGATTCCCTATATTTGTCATTTCTTATAGTGCAATAATATTCCATTTTATAATTATTTGCTATAATTATGTCATTTCTTGATTAATGGGCACTACCTTAATTTCTACTTTTTTGCTACCACAAAAATGGCTGCTATGCACATTTTTGTATAGATGAGAATTTTCTGTCATTGACTTCCTTGGGCATAGCTACCTAGAAATGGAACAACTAAGGTAAAAAGGGAAAAATAATTTAGTGCCTCTTTGATTGCAAATTGCTTTCTAGAATGTTGAATCAATTCATAGCTAGGTGACACATTGGTTAAGAGTGCTGGACTTAGGGTCAGGAGGACCTCAATTAAAATCCCCTTAGAGATTTGCTGGTTGTTGTTTGACCCTGGACGAGTCACTTAACCTTTCTCAACCTCAGTTTCCATACTTGTAAAAAAGGGGATAATAATAGCACTTCTCTCCTGGGGTTGTTGTGAGGCTCAAATTATATGAAATGTACAGTGTTCTACATGCCTTAAAGTAATATAGAAATACTTGCTGTCATTATTATTGTCATCATTATCATTATCATCATCATCATCATCATCATTCTTTGTGGTTCTCTCCAAGAGAAAGGGTGATTGCTTTCCTGTGACTTGCCTATAACACTGACTTCTGTTTTTTTGTCATCTTTGCCAATATTATGAGTGTGAAGAGAAACCTCAGAGTTGTTTTAATTTTAATTTCTTTTATTATTAATTAATATTCATTATAATTCATAAATAGCACTTTAGAAAATGCAGTTGTTGATTACCAGCATTTCTTCTGAAAACTATTTTATTTGTTCCTAAACCTTGACTGCTTATCTTTTAAATATCTGTTTTTTCATGATGTAAAGTTAGAATTAGTTTCCTTTGACTCATATTTTGAAAAGACTAAATTTAGGGAATGACGATACTGATTCTAGTGATTCAATAACAATCTATAATCAGATGTGGTTGTTTAGAAAATTCATTGCTGGTCACATATCTATAAAGTCAATATTCAGCTGTCTACTTTGTGGATTATTTTTGCCCAAGTTTTCAATTTAGAAAGGTATTTTCCTACCAAATAGCATATTTCTGCGCCTTCTTTGGACGATTTCTCTGTTTATATTTGCTGAGAACTAAATTTAATATTTTCCATGGATACATGATCTCATCAATGTCAGTACTCCCTCTAGTGGTTGAGATCATGAACCATTCATGCGTTACACTTTGAGACTTTTTCTTCACAGAGAACACGTCCAGATAGGAACCCAAGAAAGATATATTTTCTATGCCCCCCCCCTTCCCGTTCATAAAATGTATTAGAAAGTCACACAAATAGGCATTTATCTACTGCTTTGAATCATCTGTTCTACATTTTAGGATCATAGATGGGGTCATATGGCCTCAGGGATCATATAGTCCAACCTTCTTATTTTATAGATGAGAAAACTGAGGTCCAGAGAGGTTGTGACGTGACCTTGGTCACACAGGTAGTAAACATTAGAAGCTGGATTTTAACCCAGATTTTCTGGCTCCAGATCCAGAGTTTTTCCCAGTATACCTTCCTGCCCCTGATCATCTCTTCTCTGTGGGGCTTGCTTGTGGCCATACAGCTAATATATGTCAGAGGCAGGATGTGAACCTGGGGCTTCATAATTCTAAGGTTGGACTTCTCTTTGGTATGCAGTGCTGCAGCTATATCTATCTGTCTATCTCTGTCTGTCTGTCTCTCTTTTTCTTATCTTTAATTCATTCCATCCATCCTTTACTTCATATGGATTGTGATAAGTATTTGAGAATGTCTATCTATTAAAAGGTCTGTTAACTCCAATGTCCTTTGGAGCAGTAGGGACAGGAAAGTTGAAGGCTTTGAGAACTAATCTTTGTCTTATTCAATTTCAGGAGAACTGATTAATCTTGCCATGTATTGTGAAAGAATAAGGAGGAAATTCTGGCCAGAGTGGCACCATGATGATGACAATACCATCTATGAGTCTGAGGAAAGCAGTGAAGGCAGCAAGACCCACACCCCACTGCCGGATTTCAGCTTTTATTCAAGGACAGAAACCTTTGACGATGAAGGGGCAGAGAACAGTATATCCCGGACGCCTGACACAGATTTCACTGGACACTCCCTCTTTGATTCTGATGTGGACATGGATGACTATACAGACCATGAACAATGCAAATGATGCCCAGGCATACCGGCCCTCCTTTCTCAGAGGTGTCACCTCTTGGGGTTAGTCCAGTGTTCCCAGGTAGAGCACCACACCCTCCAGGGAGGGAGAGCTCCTGGTATGTGGTACATACAGTTCTCCCATATTAACTGGACTAGGTCAGCCTTATTTCTTTTTGTAACAAAAGACCAAGACAACACAGACAAAACCCACAAATAGCAGAAAACAAAGCTGTTCAGATGGCTGCATTTAAAACACAAACGGCCAGCAAAGTCAGCGTGGTTCCTGAAATCCATTTTTGTTTTCATGAGAAAACTGGTATCTCAGTCAATTTGGGTGGAGCCCTGGGTGCAGGGAGAACAGAGAGATGGGCCTGCAGGAAAGCACACATGATGAGCCTCTTTAAAAAAAGAGGCCAAAGCTTAGTTGAAAGAGGAGTACTTGAAATTCCTATACCTGATTATATTGGAAATGGTTGTAAGATGTAAAAATGAAAGAATGGATGTTTTTTTTTTCCTGGTGACTGCTTGTCCTGTGTGTATGTGAATTATATGTTCCTAGAGGCAGCATAAATCAAATCAACAAATGTTTATTGAGCTCCTACTGTGTGCAAAGCACTGTGCTAGGTGCTAAGCTCTGCCAGTGATTCGCTGTGTGACCTTGGACAAGTCACTTAACTTTTGTGTGCCTCAGTCTCCTCTGCCTGTAAGATGGGGATTATAGTAATTTCCACCTACCTACCTCACAGGGATGTTGTGAGGACTCATGAGATAATATACAATAGGGCGCTTTGAACCTTTGGGAAGAAAGGCGCTACATAGACATAAATATCATTTATCTTTGTGATTCTTATGTGTGAAACACTGAGGGAGGGAAAAGAATTTTAGTGCATCACCTGGCCAGACAGTCAGGGGCACCATCTTAGCAGATGAAGTATATGTACAGGTGGGGGCACTTATGGCTCCATCTACCATCGTTTCTTTTCTTGACTTTGCTTGAAATCTTTCTTTGAAAGAATGCTGCAAACCACAGGACACCTGAAAACATCCTGGTATTTCTCTGTGTCCCTGAAGAATAATGTTCTTTTTCTTGTCTGTCTTTATGTGGGCTCAATAGCCTTGTCTCCTCCACCCCCAGGACTTTAGGTGGCCATTGTTTTTAATTTGGAGGCAATAAAGCACAGAAAGACCATGTGTCTAATGGAGATGAGTGGAGGCAACATTTTATGGATTTGGGCAATTAGGAGCTTGCCTACTAAGAAAAGCATTCCTTTAAAAAAAAAAACAACAAAACCAAACACCAAATCCAAGACTGTGGGAGATACTGAAAAGTTGCAGTAGGAAGGGAGACAACTTATTCATATCAGAGCACCTAGGTACCACAATGATAGATAGGTGCTACACAGTTCTACTGATATGACTTTTCTGATATTTTAACCCTATAGCCCAAAGACAGAGGGCAACTGCCGAGGCTGATGTGGTGTTCTTAATTGTTCTCCCCAAAGATTCCATCTGGAATGCTGGATTTTATTGAGATTTTTAAAAGGTATCCTCTCTTCTGTTAATGATGTTTTTTGTTGATTCATGGGAACATGGGTTTGAGAATCTTTGAGCAACAATCAGGAGAGACCTTAAAGGTCATCTAATCACCTCTAGTTATTAGTTCAGATAGTTTGGGTAGAGGCTAGAGGTTTGGATGAATCGACTCAAGAGATCTAGTCCATAAAGCAGCACCTGCTATTGCAAATTAATCAGCCATCCCCCTTCTTTGGGTTGATTCCCCAAGGCAATGATTCCTTTGGGATTTGGGGGCTAGTAGGCAGCATCTTGTATCGTGAGACCCAAATGGTGATTGCAGACCAACTTCTTTCCTGAAGTTTATGTCTCAAATATAGTTTGTGCAAGAAAATCCTTAGGGAATTCAACTACAGTTGAATCACAAAGGGAAATGGGAAAGAGCATTTGTATCTTCATATGTAACTACTTTAGTGTCTTTGTAGGGCATATGTAGCTAAAGTCCTGAAAACAGGAATAGGAATGTGCTGGATCAGGGAGGTTTTTTTCACAGGTAACTGCCCCCAGGAATTACTGGAAAGAATTGTAGGGCTAACATCTGATCAAAACTATTCATATCTGACAAAACTTTTTTCATCTTTATGGAGCAAATGTAGGAAGTGCAGTTGCAGTCTGGAGTACCACTGATTTCACCAACTCTGTTTTGAGTCTCTTTTTGGAAGTTTATTTGAGGGTACTGTTCTCCCATCACCCTTCAGAGAAGGCATGGAGTATTGCTGGAACAGGCAAGTCATGGATAAACAACTGCTGACAAGGAAAGATGAACATAGTGAATATATAGGTCATACATATATGTTTTAAAGCAGTGCCTTGCCATTAATAGTTTTGTGGCCTGCTGTATGTATGTCAAAGAAAGAATTGTCTCTGAGATTCTGGTCAGTGAGGGTGGGGTTGGGAATCTTCTGTAGTCTTTGGGCTGGTCATAAAATGGTCTGAAAGTTTGCTTACAATTTGAGGAAGGCAGTGTGGTACAGTGGGCAGGGAAAAGAATTTGGAGTCGAGGATCTGGCTAATCCTGCCACTTATTATCTGTTACCTTGGACAAGTCACTCAACCAATTGAGTTTCCTCTGGTGTAAGATTCAGGTTTGGACTCAGTGACTTTAAGGTCCTTTTGAGGTCTAAATCAACGAGTCTGTGCATAGTGCCATACAGGTATTCAGTGCTAAATGTGCACATACTTAGCAGCTGTGTACTGTGAACATCTGTCTAACTTGGGATATATTAAAGTGGAAGCCCAGCTTCCATTGGATGGAAAACAAATTTAATTCAGATGGTTTGCTCAGGCTACCTTACATAGGAGCTTGAATCAGAACTTCTCTTTGGGCACATCAGTGAAGGTTCACGTCTCTGCAGGCAGTTGTTCGTGTAGATGGAAATCTGACTCTGACTTCTGACAAAGATCACCATGTAATACATCTGTAAGGTGAAGTCTAAAGCAAAACAAACATTTACCAAGTGTCTGTAACTTGAAGCAGTGTTGCGTACAAGATCCACCCAGACTTTTTCAGAACTTCAATTTTTTTTTTTAATCTGGGTTTGGAATTTCCTAGTCTTTGCTGGAAAAGTGCTAGTTGCAAGAAAGACCTGGAATGTGGGAAGCTGATAGGAGGGGCTATTTTTAAGTACTTGGATCATTTGCCTATATTTGGAGGACTTTTCTCACAGATCTCTTTTGCGTGGTCAGAAGACCCTTGAACCAACCATCCTATTCACTTACCCTGGCAAAGAACAATGACAACCAAAAATGAACCTCAGTCAGCCTGGTAGAGGGGAAAGTAGGACATGGCGTCAGAGGACATGAGTTCAAAGGCCACTTCTACTACTTACTACTTGTGTGACCTTGGGCAAGTCACTTAACTTTTTGTGGACTTCAGCTCCCTGTTCTGTAAATAAGGGGGGTTGAACAAGATGACTTCTGAGGTCTTTTCAACTCTACACCTCTAATTTTGTGATCATCTTATGAAAATTAATGAACAGTACAGTATTAGTTTTAATGAGAGACCAATGAGGGGGTATCGTTCCTTTATGCAGAAATTAAACCAGTCAACAAGCATTTATTAAGAATCTGCTGTGTGCCATGCACATGCTAGGTACTGAACACAGAGTCACAAATGAAGTGGTACCTGCTCTCAAGGAGTTTCTTCTCTCACAAGAGATAATATGCACAGATTTAAGTACAAGCAGAATAATACAAAATAAACTGAAAATAGTTAAAAGAAGAAGGGCACTAGCAGTTTGAAGGATCAGGAAAGGGCTGAGTTGGAGGAAGCAAGGGATTCTGAGGGGGAAGGGAGGAGGGAGAGCATTCCAGGGATGGGGGACAGCCAGGACAATGGCGTGGAGATGGGAGATGGGGGTGCTGTCTGTGTGTGAGTAGCAGCAAGGGAGCCATTTTGGTTGCATCACAGAGTATGGAAATGGGAGTAATTTATAAAGAATTTGGAAAGGTGGATTGAGGCCAAATGGCGAATGACTTTAAAAAGCCACACAGATGAGTTTCTGTTTTATTCTAGAGATATCAATTGTCATTTATTAACAAAGAAATATAACATTAACACTTTGTAAACACTGATTGAGCTAACTTTGTGGACCACTGGGAGTGCTTGTAAGCCAAACTTGAGCAGTAGGGGAATTCGTTAGTTACACCTCTCATATACTGTATTTTAGGATATCTGCACAAATGCAGAGTAGGTGGAATTTGAAGACAAAAATATGTCAAGGTTTTTAGCTTGACAGATTGAAAGGAAGCATAAAGTCAGTTTCTTAGAATGGCAAAGGATCTTAGAGATCAGTTAATTCAGGCCCTTTGTTTTAGAGGCTGTTAAAGTCGTGTCTTGTTCTGGTTCCCTGGAACCCGGCGCCCCCCCCCCCCATTCTAGTCGTTATAGTAAATTTTAGCAGGAAACAAGATTGCAAAGGGGAACCTGGAAGTCATGTAGAAACCATCCCAAAGATCAAAGGAACATAATTTATAAATTGTGTCATATATTAACTAAAATTCACCATGCCTGCACCTATTTCATAATTTTACAAATGATCAATTTGGAGGCCCAGAGATATGAGGAATTTCCCCAGGAACACACAGCTAGGAACTAGCGAGTTATGGACTATAGCTGAAATTTTTTGACATCTAGACCAATGTTCTTTCTAGTAGAATACACTCATCTTGCTCCCCCAAACCCCAAATAACTATCTCCTGATTTTTCTGTTTATTTTAATGACATCACCATTCTTCTGGTCTCCCAATCTTGATGCCCTAGAAACCTTTGATTCCTTCCTCTACCTCAATTCCCAGTTTGAATCAGCCATGAAGTCCTGTTATTCTTCCTTTACAGTGTCCCTCAATTATATTCTTGTAATTCTCACCAAAAGAGCAGCTAGAGGGTATAGTGAATAGAGTCAGGAAGACCTGAGTTCAAATCTGGCTTCAGACACTTACTAACTGTGTGACTCTGGACAAGTCATTTAATCCTGTTTACCTCAGTTTCCTCATCTGTAAAATGAACTGGTGAAGGAGATGGCAAACCACTTCAGTATCTTTGCCAAGAAAACCCAGCAAGGGGTCCAAAGAGTTGGATATGACTGAAATGCCTGAACAACAATAATTTCTACCAAAGTTAAGGCCCTGATATGCTGATATCCAGACTTTTTTTTTTTTAAGGCAATTGGGGTCAAGTGATTTGCCCAGGGTCACACAGCTAGTAAATGTCAAGTGTTTAGTCTCAGGTCGCATTTGAACTCAGGTCCTTCTGACTTCAGGGCCGGTGCTCTATCCACTGCGCCACCTAGCTGCCCCTATCCAGACTTTTCTGCTAATCTCTTAGCTGATCTCTCTGTCTTTAACCTCTTCCCCCTACTCTAGTCTTTCCTGATTAAATTTCCAAAAATCACTTCTTTGATCATGTCATTCCCTTGGTCAAAGACCTTTATCATATAGAAGCTAAAGACATTCAAAGTCTTGACTTAATATTTAAGTTCAATACTAATCTGATCCCAAATTTACCTTTCCAGGTAATCCACCATTCCTCCCCTATGTGAGCATTTATTTTCCTAACTACACTAATTCTACCTACTGTTGTTTGAACCCATCTTTCATTTTCCAAACTCTGTAGCTTTGACCACACCACTTCCCTTGCCAGATTATCCTCACCCCTCTCTTTTTTTTTTCTCACCTGGCTGCTGATCTTCTCTTCTTATCTAAATCATAACTGTGCTTTAGGGTCTAGTACCAGGCTCTTCTCTACCACAAGGCAACCTCTGACCACTTCAGCTTATAGTGATTTCTCTATCCCCTGAATTTATAGCATGTGTTGTCATGGTACAGTGGAAAGAACGCTTACATAAGAAATACATTTAAGATTAGAAATGGAACTCAAATTTTAGCACTAAATTGTGCTATTTAAATTCATCATACATTATTTTCCTCCCATAATGCAAGAAGGAGAGAAATATTGGAAAAGAATTAAGCAAAATGAATCCCAACCGGAATGAAAGGTTGTGTGTGTGTTGAGGGGTAGGGAGAAGACTGTCCTAAAAGATAATATATGGGAAAATGGTTTTGAATTTCAGATTCAAAAGGACATGTTTGATATTTTGGTAAGGAAACTTCTTTTTTTTTTAATTTGTGGTTTAAAAAAAAACAACAGACAGGTAGTATAGTGAAAGGCTGTGTGGGATAGTGGAAATAGATTAGCCCTAGAGTTAAAAGACCTGAATTCAAATTTCAGCTCTGTTACCTATTACCTGTATGACTTTAGGCAAGCCACTTTATGTTGCCTCTAAGTTTCTTTTTCTGAAAAATGAAGGGGTTGGATCCAATCCTTCCAGTTCTTGATCCTGTGATCCCCCTGATAATCAATCAAGCAGGTGATTAATAAATATTTATTAAGCACCTACTATGTGTGAGGAAGGGCACCTAGGTGGCACAGTGGATAGAGCTCCAGGCCTGAAGTCAGGAAGACTTGAGTTCAAATGTGGCCTCAGAGACTTACTAGCTGTGTGACTTTGGGTAAGTCACAGCTCTGTTTGCTTGGTTTCCGCATCTGTAAAATGAGCTGGAAAAGGAAATGGCAAACCACTCCAGAATCTTTGCCAAGAAAACTACATCGTGCTAAGGGCTAGACATACAAAGACAAAAGTGAAGCAGTCTCTGCTCTCACTGAACTTCTTTTCCAAAGGCGGAGACTACAGATGTGTCTGTGTGTTAGTACATACAGAATATACAGAAAATGAATATAGATAGTTTTAGAGGGAGAGCATTAGTATCTGGGAAGATTAATAAGGGCTTCATGTAGAAATGGTTATTGAGCTGAGTCTTGAGGGAAATCAGAATCCAAAAGGTGGAGGTGAGGAAGGAATGCATTCCAGGGATGAGGGACAAAAATAGCTGAACCATAGAGTGCACATTGGGAAGTAACGCAGAAAGACCCTGGACAGTTATGGAGAATAATTAGATTCAAAGAGCTCATATTTTTTTCAAATCAGACTCAGTATCAGGTGAGTGCCTTTCTGAAAGCAAGTTTTCTAGCTGGTATACAGCTCAAATGGCTATGGGAGTACATGTTGGGGGGAGGGTGCAACAGATTATCTGGAAAGAGATTCCTGCCCTTTAAAGATCTTCAGGAGCTTGTCCTCATTCAATTCTTTGTGTTGACCATTTGTGTGAATGCTATTTTCAATAGGAGATGAATGCCTTTGATTGATCTGAAACAACTCAGGTTAAGTTTCACAGGGTCTGGTTAGTTGTGTTTTCCTCATCATGACTTTGATGCTAGATCCTTGTCTTCTATCATGTGAATGATGGCTAACTACTTATGAGGAGCAAAGAGTTGGCAAGACACTTTCAAATAGAAAGTGCATGGTCCAAATCCATGTACTTGGCAAGCAGCATTTTCCATGTTTTGAAGGTCCGGTTATTCCCATAGTATTGGTGTAACTTACAAAGGTTGGAAGTGTTAGATGGTGATAGTGGCTGTAACTCATCCTAACTAAACTCTGTTGTAGCCTATGGCTTACATATACAAGTTTCAGAGTGTGTGTGTGTGTGTGTGTGTGTGTGTATGTGTGTGTATTTCCTTTAAATTCCTTCCAAGAAGTTTGCCCTTTTTTGTCCCTAACTTTTCCAGTTCTTACTTCATGTCTCTGATGGGAAGTTTCTTGGCTCAGGAATCCAGGCAGGTGTCAGTTATGAAGACTGTCTTAAGGAGTGACTCCAGCATATCCCAGGACTGGGGCTAGGGATGTGGCCTCCTTAGGAGTCCTGGCCCCCAACGTTTCTGACCCACAGGAAGCTGGGACTAGATCTAGGAACTAGAGCAAAGCCTTCTCTGGAGTTCTGCCAAACAAAAGGAATTGTTCTAAAAGCGTTTCAAGAATCGTCTTTGCTCTCTTCCTCTCAGATTTCTAGATAAACCAAAGCCAATACTTACTTAAAAAATTTTTTTTATTGAAATCTTTGTTTTTACATGACCTGTATTTTCCCATATAACCTATTCACTCCCTCTCCTAGACGGAGTGTAACAAAGATTTTTTTTTAAAAGAGAAAAATATTCAGCAGAACCACTCAACGCATAGAAAGATGTTATGTACAGTATTCCTCAGTTGCCAACCTCTGCTTCTGCTAAGGATTTTTTTTGGGGGGGATATCTTTTCATAATTTTTATTTGGGGCCAAGCTTGTTCGTTTTAATTTTACAAACTTAATTTTCTTTTTTTGGTTCACTTTCAGTTTAGTTTCTGTGCTTTGCTTTTACGTTATGTGCATTGACAGATTACTCCCACTTTGTGAGAGTTCTCTTGTAACAAAGTAAAACAGTTAAGTAAAATTAATAATAAAACCTCATAGGAAAGTGCATGCAACTTTTCACATTATCTCTCTATTTTTTAAAAAAAATTAACAAATCTATTTTCTCTCCCTCCTACACCTTACCCCACTGCAAAAAAAGAAAAAGAAAAAATTCTTCTAACAAATATGTATTGTCAAGCAAAACAAATTCTCTAAATGGCTGTGTTAAAAATACATACATACATACATACACATATATGTATATATGTATATGTATATGTATATATACATACATATATATATATGTCTTATTCTTTACCTTAAATCCCTCACCTCTCTGTAATATATAGCATGTTGTATTGTTGATTCTCAGGAATCAAGAATGGTCCTTGCATTGATCAGAATTCTTACAGCCTTTCATATTCAATTGTTTTGTGGTTGTTATTCCTTTCATTTATGTTGCAGTCATTATGTACATTGTTTTCCTATTCTTGCTTACTTCACTTTACATTAAGTCATAGAAGCCAGTCCATGTTCTCTGTCTTCATCGTAAAAGCTAACATTTTCAATGTGAAAATAAACAACTGTAACTGTACAATTCCAAGTCAATGTCTATGTGTCATAGAAGCCAGTCCATGTTCTCTGTCTTCATCGTAAAAGCTAACATTTTCAATGTGAAAATAAACAACTGTAACTGTACAATTCCAAGTCAATGTCTATGTGACACCATAAACAATTGTCCAATTCAATGAAAGAAATTGGTTGGGTAGATAAAACAACTCACTGATTAAATTTGACATCTTTCTCTCAAAAAATACTTTTTTTGGTTAGTGTTGCATGGACAATCCTTTCCTCATGGTTCTTGGCTGCCTTTCTTTCTTGCTTTGTGAAGTTTTGGAAAATAGCCACTCTTTATAGCTTTGGATATAATAAGCTGCTTGTTATCTAAAGCAGTAGATAGATATTTATTATTACTAATTTCATGATCAGTCGTAAGCATTTATGCAGCATTTATTTTTTTCCTCTTGTTGTCAGGCATTGATTTTTGTCTGGCATGGTGCACAGGCAAAATAACCATCTTCATTTGAAAAGAGCAATCATATCTTTTACTTGCTTTAGAACCTCATTGTGACCAGTCAGCTTCTTTTTCCTTTTGTAGGCTCCAGTGCCTTGAAATGCCATGCTTCTATTAATTGCTACTGAGCAGAATTATGGAAGGAATATAATGTGATTATGTTTTTAGAAGGCCTTCAAAAAGGATAGCAATTTTTCTTCCTTTGTTTGGATTTATTATTATTATTTTGTTAGAGCTACTTAGGATGAGTTGTATCCATTCCTGTTTGATTGGAACTCTCCATGAGAAGTCGCTTTTGGCTCATTAAAACAGAAACCATGTCCCCATGGTTTTATTTTTACCTTTGACAAATTGCATCTGAAATGTTTTGCAGCAATAGGCTAAACACAATTTTCAACTTTACAAGGGATATATAGGCTCCAGCAGTAGTGACAACTTTGTCTTATTTCTGTCAAGATGAGTTTACCTCAAGTAAATAAGCCTTATGGAATCAGGCCTAGTGCACACATAGGTTCTTCCCAATGAACTGCCTTGTGTAGGATGTCTAAAAACTGGAATTTCTCTGATGGCTGGGATTTGTGGATGGTGGTAGT